TTCCCTTCCCCTCCCCCTCTCTCCCCTTTGTCCCCTCCCACTCCTCCCCTCCCTTTGCTGCCCTTTTCCCTTTCCCTTCCCCTCCTCCTCCTCCCCAAGGACCCAGTGGGCACCGCCTGTATGGGAAAAGTGAGACCGTACTGGGGCACTCGCCACTCTGCTGCCCACCTTGATGATCTGGCCTTCTTTGAAGGGCAACTCCTCCTCAGCAGCATCAGGGTTGGGGGACATGGTGAGCGGGTCATAGTCGAAGAGAGCTACGAAGATGCGGGCTGGGAGCTCCTCAGCCCCGGGGTCCGTCTCCGACTCCTCATAGAAGTCTGGGGAGAGGCGGTCGTGCCCAGCATAGCCATCTGTGAGCAGGCGGGGATGCTGTACCACTCTGGGGCCTTGGGGTGGGGCGTTGACTGCTCTTCAGAGCAGCGACAGAGCTGGATGGATGTGGAGGTGGACATGGGACCCAGAGGGCCGGGCCCTGAGCTGCCCAGGCTCGCGTGGCCATGAGTAGCTTCCTCTCCACGGCTGGGCTGCCAGCTCCCGGGCTCAGGGCCCCACGGCCAAGCACCCAGAGAGCACTGACCACACAGTCCCAGCCCTGGATGTCAAGCTGCACACCATGCCTTCCTCCCCAAGCCCTGGATCTGCAGCAAGCTGGGTTTCGCCACCCTCCCACCTCCCACTGACTGACTTGCAGCTGCACACAGCTGTCTCCAGCAGGTGCTGGGCTCCTGTTCCCTGCACAGAACCTGGCCGTGTGAGGTCCACACTGTGGCTCAGTGCTCCCTACGCTGCAGGACGGGTGTTACTGTTGTGCTGTGTTGCTTAGGAAATCATGTGAGAAACACCTGTGCATGTCCAGTACAGGTGTGAGGTTTTAAACATACGTCCAGTCCCAGTTGGTGGAGTGTGCAGTGTGTAATCTGCGGATACTGAGGGGCAGACACGTATACGTAAGAGTTTGTACCAACCGGGCAGGGAGGAGGGTGCCTCCGCCCTGCTGGGGAGGGAGGACCGGTGCCAACAGGAGAGCTGTGGGGCCGGACCGCTGGCCCCCAGCATGGCACTGAGTGGGTGGGGACACGGATGGGAAGGGTGGGCCCTGGGGGACCCAGCTGTCTGGCTTCTTCCCATCACAGAATTCAGTTTAAAACCACAACGCCCGGTGGCTGCAGGCATCCTGGCCAACTGCGGCCCTCGGGAGGACAGGAGGTCGGGGAGGGACTCTTGGTGGCTCGTCTCGCTCTGTCGTTTTCTATGTCACTTTGATTTCTGCTGGGAACCAGGCTTCCCAGCGGCTGGCATGGCCAGCACCCACTTGGTGCTTCTGACTTTTCAAATAGTCAGGGAGACACAGATTCTCTATTAACAGAGACACTATTTTTAAGGACTTCTGTGACAAAAATGAGAAGTGGGGGAAAAGTGGGAAAGGCTCTGCCTGACCTGTGAGCCTCCATCGTCCCTTCTGAGCTGTGTCCCCTGGGCCCTGAAATTCAGCCCTGTGTGCTGCGCCAACCTTTCTTCCTGCTGTTTCCTCTGTGTGTGTGTGTGTGTCACAAAAGGGCTGATTCCGGGCTCCATGATCTGGTTTGATGACCTGGTGGCAGGCCACTGAGGGACGATCCCTGCCTGGTCCTGCCCCTCGGTGGCTGACTTCCAGAGAGCAGTTCAGAGAAAGAAGCCACAGGCGGGTGAGCAGAGCAGAGTGGTGGGCACAGCCTGGGGACCCTGGGGCAGGGAGCCACGCGCCTGATCTTGCTGCGTCCTGTGTCCACAGGGGCTCTCTGAACCCAGGGCTCGCCAGGTATTTGAGGTATGCCACCACCCCGCTCCGCTCCAGCCCAGCTTTGGTCCTCAGCTGAGAGTCAGCGCCTCCAAGACCATGCTGGGAAACCTCTCAGAAAAAACAAGACAGAAAACTTGCTGGCCAGGTGAGCAGGGTGGCTGGACCAGTGGGACGCCTGTCTCCTGGGTACCTGCCCACCTTCCTACACTGAGCCACAGATGCTCCCCCTAAGGGTTACAGAACAAATGGGCACAGAGAGAGGCAGCAGCGGGCACTTACCGACGGCCAGCTGGGGCCTCTGTGGACCGGCGCCACCGTGGGGGAACCTCCGGCCAAGATGCTGTGCCCGTGCCACCCGTCCTGCTGATGCGGAGCTGCCTAGGATCTGGGATGAGACAGGAGCAGGGTCACAGTTCAGCCAGCCCCAGAGGAACAGCAGGTCAGTGAATCAACTCGCATTGTGAGCAAAGCTGTAAAGGCAACTCGGCTTAGCTTTTAACTGAAAGGTTAGCTGAATGGCCAGCTAGCGCCCACTCCCCGGCCCAGGCACTTCTGACCACTGCGGGGCTGGGCAAAAATGAGCCCGCGGGAGGCATCTGCACACCGCCGAGACCAAACCCTTGACCGTGTGAGCTGCAGACACAACTCAGGGCTCAGCCATGTCAGCCTGCCCCGGAGTCCCCACCCTGGCACCAGCTGCCACACTGCAGAAAAGCACCCAGTTCCGGACCTGGGTGGGGCCAGAGTGGGGTGTGGGAAACCCCATGTGTCAGCCCCACCCTGAGAGACCTGAGCACCTCCTGACCAGGCATGAAGAGCGCAGCAGGACCTCCTGCTCCTCTGGACAGAGAGGGAGCCCTGGGCCCTGGGTCTCAGGAGGAGCCTGAGTGGCGCCCTCGTGTGGTCATATCCCCACTGGCCCCACCTGGGCACCCAGGTGACTCAGCCTGGAGGAAATGGCCCGCCAGGGCTCGCGGGGAGAAGCCTTGCACACCAATTACCCAGTGGAATGGGAAGACAAAAAGGCTTCAAAACAGTGTGCAAAAGCGACTTTCTTCACTAATACTCTCCATGTGGAGAATGATCTGTGAGGGCCTAGAAGCAACATAAAAACCCAGAGCAATGGAGATCAGCACTGGGAGTCACACCAAGGTCTCTAAGGGTGGTTTTGGAAAAATGAAAGCTGCCAGGATGGCCACCGCCGTTCAGCTAACCCTTAATTAAAATTTAAGGCTCAGTTGTCCTTTAATCCAAGCAGCCAGGATCGTTACCGTCCTGTGGAGGAAACGTCATCGACAGCAAAGGAAAGACGCCGCCGACCGGCAAGCGATGCACGCGACAGACCGCAAGCGCAGGAGGCCCGAGAGGGACGCAGCGACCCAGCGAGGGGGCGGCACA